GCACCCCCGGAAGGTCTGTTGCGGCGGCCGTGGGACATGCCGGTGCAACATCTGCCAGTGCTTGCCGGGCTACCAGCCCCCGTTTTGCCAGGAGTGCCCGGGCTGCCCGTCCCCCTGCGCCCAGTACATGTAAGTGACCACAGTCCCCGGCCACAGCAGGGCGGGCAGCCTGGGGGCACAGCGGGTCCCTGTTCTCTCTCGCCAAAGGCGGACCTCGGTCCCACCAGTTTGGGGTGGAGATACAAGGAGCTCCGCAACTCTGCCCCTGTGAGGCTTCTGCGGTCCATGGAGCCAGCAGCAGCCCTCGGGAGACTGGTCTCCGTGGGGCTCCGGGCCCAGGGTGCACCGGGTCCATGCAGCTCCTCTGGGCTGTGCGGGTTAGCGAGGCAGCTGCCGGGTAAGCGCCTTACACCCGCGTAACCCTCGCACGTGCCCCGCACCCCATGTGGCAGAGGAAGAACAGCCCCAGCCCCCGGTCACGGCCAGTCGGCGCAGGGGGGATGCTCCTTCCCAACCTCACACCATACCCCCCACCTGGGCTGCCAGCCAGCCTGTTACCTGACATGTGCCTCCTGGTGTGCCTTCCAGCTCCTGTGCCGAGTGCAGGGCCTTTGGGAGCGGCCCCTTTCAGAAGAACTGCTCCGCTGCCTGCCCCAACATCCAGGTGAACAGCGCCCTGGGGAGTGGCCGGCAGTGCCGGGAGAAAGACTCGGAGAACTGCTGGATTTCCTACATCATGAACCAGGAGGACGGAGAGGGGAAATACACCATTAAAGTGGATGAGAAGAGAGGTACTGGCGTCTTGCCCCACACCTGCCTGGAAGGGGAGGGGGGCTCCCCCCGGAGCCAGCCCGCAGACCCCAAGGTCACAGCAGGTGGGGTCAGAGAGAACTGGGGACTGGGCTTCATGCAGGTACATGAAGAGAACAGGCCCCGCGGGGATCCTCTGCCCAGCGCAGCGCCCTGGGGGGAGGGGAGAACACGGGTACCCCAGCCAGATGAGCGTGGCACACGCTGGTGCAAGGGGCCTGTGAATACGCAGGATTTTAGGGCCTTGGCTCTTCCATTTCCTCCTGCCAGGCTCTGAGCCCTCCTTTCCTCCGTTCTGCACTTCCTGCTGCGTCCTGCTCCTCGCCCAGCTCCTGCCACAGTGCCCAGCCCGTGGGCAGCTCCCCAGAGTGCCAGTGGGGGGCAGCCAGCAGCTGCGGGGCAGGGGCAGGGGGCTGCG